AACTCCAAAACCAACCAAACAAAAAACCCTCAACCTTTCTGGGAAGTGTCCTAGCTGATCCCATCCTCTGTGAGGCTATGAGGTGCCATTTCTGTCTTCCTACAGCACCAAAATACATTTTATTTTATTTTTGAGAGACAGTCTTGCTCTGTCGCCCAGGCTGTAATGCAGTGGCACAATCTTGGCTCACTGCAACCTCTGCCTCCCAGGTTCAAACTATTCTCATGCCTCAGCCTCCCAGGTAGCTGGAACTACAGGCGCTTGCCTCAACGCCTGGCTAATTTTTTTTCGTATTTTTAGTAGAGACGGAGTTTTTCCCATGTTGGCCAGGCTGGTCTCGAACTCCTGACCTCAGGTGATCCACCTGCCTCAGCCTACTAAACTGCTGGGATTACAGGTGTGAGCTACTGTGCCCAGCCTTAAAATACATTTTAAATTCAAATCTAAAGTTTTAGATAATTTGTGAGAGTACAAAAAAAAAAAAAAAAAAAAAAAAAAAAAAAAAAAAAAAAAAAAAAAAAAAAAAAAAAAAAAAAAAAAAAAAAAAAAAAAAAAAAAACAGCATTACAGATCATCAAGAACTTACTATCCATTCATAAAAGACTATTTAACTTGCTCTGCAAATACAAAATGCACACCCCTCAACATGTGAGCTCTCTAAAGGTCAGGGATTTTTTAAAAAATTTTCTTTCTATACCTCTAATCAATAGGAGGGATTTCTTACACATCTTTGTAACCTCCCCTGCTACCCACTCCAACTCTGGCAGATTCCCAAATATAGCTCCAAGCCTTGCCAGTACTTGGCACTCAGTAAATAACTGTCAAAAAATGAAAGTGCCATTCTTAAAAGACCACGCCAAGATTTCAGCTAAAGGATCAGCCTATTTGTTAACAAACACATGTACGTTAATTTAAGGCCAATATCCTGTAAAAGCTTTTATTGTAGTGCTTTGATGTTTATTAATTTCCACCTACCTTGGTCAAGTTTACTTTGATACCTTTGCAACACCTGCATTAAATCCCTTTCCTTAGCCAGGTGTGGTGGCTTATACTCCCAGCACTGTGGGAGGCCAAGACAGGCAGATCGCTTGAGCTGAGGGAGAACAGCCTGACTAACATGGCAAAACCCCATCTTTACAAAGAGTACAAAAATTAGCCAGACACGGTGGCGTGTGCTTGTAGTCCCAGCTACTTGGGGGGCTGAGGTAAGAGGATCGCTTGAGCCTAGGATGCAGAGGTTGCAATGAGCCAAGATTATGCCACTGCACTCTAGCCTGGGTGACAGAGCAAGACCTTGCCTCAAAAAAAAAAAAAAAAAAAAAAAGCCTTTCCTTTATACCTCCTAAGCACCTGTGCATACTGCAATTATGAGGTTCAAACCACATTGTCTGGAAAGTTCTGTGTATCACTCCCCCTAGACCATACACCTCTTAAGGGCAGGCCTGTGTCCTATGCATTTCTATCCCTGAGTAGGCATAATACTTAACCCAAAGTGGCTGCTGAATATATGTCTGCTAAACTAAACAGAATTGACTTTGGAAATTAGTAACAGTCCTTATAGTTGTTCTGACGAAAAATTAAAATCACTTTTTTTTACAGCCACAATAAAATACTGATTTAAATCCCAAAATAATCTTGTACTGGATTCTAGTAGAGACAAGCAAGATTTCAGAAAAACTGGAGAAATTCTCCTGAGGCTTGGGAAGAGACTACCAGTATTCTTTTTTTTTTTTTTTTTGGAGACAGGGTCGCACTCTGTCACCCAGGCTGGAGTGCAGTGGCACAATCTCGGCTTACTGCATCCTCTGACTCCCGGGTTCAGGTGATTCTCTTGCCTCAGCCTCCCGAGTAGCTGGGACTACAGGCCCGCACCACCATGCCCAGCTCAGTTTTGTATTTTTAGTGGAGACGGGGTTTCACCATGTTGGCCAGGCTGGTCTCGATCTCTTGACCTCATGATCCACCTGCCTTGGCCTCCCAAAGTGCTGGGATTACAGGCGTGAGCCAACGCACCCAGTCTAGTATTCAATTTTATAGGCAGGCCACCACCACCTACTTCATAGAAAACCAATGTTACACAGAACAGTGAGAGCCACTGAATCAGTGGTTTTTCCTGGCTCTAGTCACACTCTGGCTAAACACAGAAACCTAAGTCTGAGCCATCTTCAAGGCTGGCTGTACACAGTCACCTTGTGACTTAATTCCATTCTCAAAAAGTCACACTGGGTACCATTATGCCCAACGTGGCCACATTCTGTAAAGGTCTTTTCATTTCTGCAGTCACCACTACAGTACTGGCCCTTATATTTCTACTTAGACTAGCCCCACAGTCTAAGTGGATTCTGTTCCCAGTTTTTGCTGTTTAATTCATCCGTCACACTGCTACCAAACTAATTTCCCTTTAATCAGTGCTTCAAAATGTTGGATAATTTTGTCAGCCCCTCCCCGACTCTCTAAACGTTTTGCAATATCTGCAGACATCTTTGATTGTCAGGACTGGAATTCAGTGGGTGGAGGCCAGGGATGCAGCTAATATATCCTACAACGCACAGGACAACCCCTGCCCCAACACACACAGAGACACACATGTGGTAAGGGGGTAGGGACAGGGAGGAAGAGGGAGAGGAGGGGGAGAGGGAGAGAGAACAAAGAATTATCTGGCCCTAGATGACTATGTTGTCCTGGGCTAGTCATTTAAACTCCTTGAGCGTCAGTTTCCTCATCGTATGTACTCCGTGGTCAAACACCTACCTTAAAGGCTGTTGGGACGAGTGAGTCACTCTATGCAGAACACTGAGCTGTGTCTGCAGACTGGACACTTCACACATCTTTAAATTGTTTCGTTGGTCTTTTCTCTCAAACAGAATTATTCTCTCACTAAAAAGGCTAGAATGGACACCAATAATGGGAAGAGAAGCTCCCAAGAAGTAGATTTCACATGAACATCAGAGGTGTTTTTCTGGGCCTGGATAAATTACATGTCAATAACATAAGCAGGCAAGGTTGCTGAGCCATGGTTACAACAAGTGCTATTAGCCTGAAAAGGGGGTTCTTAAAGCTATTATCAAAAAATGCAGTAAGTAGATTTGGAAAACTGTAGGCTGATGAACCTGCCATTTGAAAAAAAGTCTACGTTAAGATGGGTGTATAAGGACCCAGCAACAGAGAATCACGGCACACTAACCTCTTTTCTTTGACAGAACTACTAAAGCGGGGAACACTGTTGATAGGATGTACGTGGAGTGCTATGTCAAATCTGACAGGACCTTTCATGACACTCTTGTGGAAACGCAGCCTGGGTACCATGACAATTAAATAGATTTGTAACCACTGGAATAACCGCACCCAACATGGTGCCTAGCCCAGTGCTACCACATGGACATCTGCTCTCATTCCCATGCCCTCCTTTCTGCTGCAACTGAGGAACTGTCCTTGGACTGCCTGTGGCCAAGCCTCCAGGATTCTGGACCCAGCCTTCCTGCCCTCTGGAAGACTCTGGCAGATCACTCCCACCCAATTTCAAACACACCCTACCAACTTTGTCCCACCATCCCGTACTCCCACAATTTCTGCCCATTCCTCTGCATCTCCCTCAGTCTTCAACCTTCTTGAAAAAGTTGTCCTAACAATCCTTACTTCCTCTCAACAGTCTTTCAGCTGGCTACTTTTCCCATCACTTCACAAAATAGGCAAATCCAAGGTTATTTTTCTGTCCTCACTTTACTGTTAGGTCCTGAACTTGTATTCAGGACGCCAAAATAGAGCAAAAAACAGAAGTATAGGAAAAATAATGTCTGACTTAGTAGCAGTGGAAACAAACACACAAAAAATTTAACCACATTAAGCTGAGACTGAGTCAACTAGTTGTGTGATGCCTAAGTGGTTATCTTACATAACAGAATATGTTCACTCTCTGTGTACTGGTCGTTATTTTACCCGGAACTTAGTTTTAAGGATATTTTGCAAAATAAGACTTAAACTACGACTACTGCCTGAAGATACAACCTGCTGCCCTAAGGAATAGTATGTGTAGGAAGGGTTGCCTGGCAAATAGCAAGGTCTTATTATTATTATTATTATTTTTCTTGAGGTCTTGCTCTCTCGCCCAGGCTGGAGTACAGTGGCACAATCACAGCTCTCACTACAGTCTCGACCTCCTGGGCTCAAGTGATTCTCCCATCTCAGCCTCCTGAGTGCCTGGGACTACAGGTGGGCGCCACCCTGCCCACGCGATTTTTAAAAATTTTTATAGGATGGTGTCTCACTATGTGCGCCAGGCTGGTCTCGCACTCCTGGCCTCAAGCGATCCTCCCACCTCGGCCTCCCAAAGTGCTGGGATTACAGGTCCCAAGGTCTTGTCTGGAATGAATACAGTAATTTCAAAATTTTGATCGTAACTCAAGACTCACTGAATCTGACCGGCAGTAGAGCCAGTGTTATAACCCTAAATTTAGCAAGTCAGAAAGCACAGGTCAAGGTTTACTGACTCAGTCAGATGCAGGTTTTCTGACTCAGAGTTTAGAATATTCAGACATGATTCAAGAAAGCGAAGAAACCAGAGTGCCAACGAGCCATCACCTTATGTTGATGAAGGGACAACCGATCCTGGGGCGCGCTGGGTTAAGAGCTTGGATTCCTACTCACCCCTCCAACTTTTGGAAGCGGTGAATGGAAAGGGGACCATGATTAGGAATCTAAGATTTCCCCACCTGTTAGAACCACAAGGCTCTTTCTGTGGATTTTAACGTCTTTTGTACTCCCTTCACCCCATGGATCAAAGGCGAAGATCATATCTCGTCTGCAGACTTACCTCCCTCCCAACAGCGCTCGGGGAGCCGCACCGAGCAAATGAGGGCTTCCCTGAGAGTTCCAACAGCTAGAGGCCTGAGAAAAGTGCCAGGCCCGCTTGGCGGTCTGCGGTTCAGGGCCAACCCTGAAGACCCCAGCCTCGGTTGCCGCGCATAAGTCCCCCTCCCGTCCTCGCGCCCCGGCCTGCTCACCCGCATGGGACATGGGCATGGTGAGGTTCCCGTAGCGCTCCTCGTTGTAGAGGACCACGGCCGAGGCGTTCCTCCGCGCCGCCACCAGCACCTTGTCCTTGAAGGTGCAGCCCCCGCGAGCCACCAGGGCGACCCAGGGCGCGGCCCCTCGGCCGCCGGGCTCGGGCACGAAGAAGCGCGTGTCGGGCGCGCAGCCCTCGGGGTCTCCGCCGGGCGCCCACGGGACGCCCACCAGGCCCTGAGCGCCCTCCTTGGGCGAGCTGTCGCCGAAGCGGCCGCTCTCCGAGACGCTCCACACCGTCAGGTTGGTCTGCGGGTCCACGTACTCGATGCTCACCACGGCCGAGAACCACTCGAGAGCCCGGCCCCGGGCCCCGGGCGCGCACAGGGCCAGGGCGAGCAACGCCAGAGCCAGCCCGCCGCGGGCCCCAACGCCGGCCTCGGGCCGCCGCCACGCCATGGCAGCACAGCTGAGCTGACTAGGGGCAGGCGGGGGTCACGCGCGAGTGCTGTGAGGCCGCGGAGCGCAGAGAAGCTGACGCCCACCGCCGCCCAGGAAGACTGAGGCGGGGTCGGGGCCCTGGCCGCTGCGCACGCGCACTTGGCGGAGCGGACGAGGGGCGTGACTGGCCCTGGCCCCGCCCTCGCCCGATCAGCCGCGCAGTACGCAGGCGTAAGCTCCGCTGAGCCACGGACCGCGAGCCGTTCCGGGCTCTCGGGCGCCTGTGGGCGGAGGCGGGGCGCGCAGCCTATACCACAGTTTGCGCCACGGCTGACCCCTTGGCCAGGGGCCGAGTTTGCGCAACAGGACAACTAGCATCCCCGAAGTGAGGGGAAGTAACTCCAGAGAAACGGGAAGCTTCCCTGAAAGCAGGCGTGGACCGCGGTTCAGTAAAATCGCTTAACAGATGTTTGTGGAGAGTTTATTGTGCAAGGCACATGGCAGAGGCCTTGTGTAAATCGTTTCAAAGTTAATTAGCCAAACCTGTTGGCGTCCGCCGGTAGTTCCCACTCGGGAGGCCGAGGTGGGAAGATCACCTGAGCCCCGCAGGTGGAGGCTGCATTGAGCCGAGATCACCACTCCTCTCCAGCCTGGGCGACTAAAGAGGCAATTAAAAAAAAAAAAAAAAACCAAAGTTACGCACACACTATCCAACTGCCTTTTGCTACCAATATTATGGTGCTAGTTGATTCCTTACAGCTTAAGTATATTTACATCAGCCATTTTTGTTATAGTGTTTTATGTGTAATCTGTAATTTTGAAATAATCAGGCATAGGCATACAACATAAGTGTCATTTAGGTAGTCTGATGCCTGCTACTGATGACATACAACGTAAGTGCTCATTTGGGCATCAGATTACCTAAATGAACACCTATGTTGTATGTCAATAAAAAAGGGAAAAGGATTTGTTGTTTGGATATCAATACCCAGTGATACAGAATCCATGTAAAACTACTGTGAGTACAAAGCCTACTGCTGTCAGAAAGGAAGTTCAGAACATTGGTTTCAGATAGACTCATCTTCCCGTGTTAAGGGTCTATAACTGTAGGAAGTAGGTTGTTGCCGCCCGCATCACGTGTTTTTTTGTTTTGTTTTGTTTTGTTTTGTTTTGACAGAGTCTCGCTCTGTTGCCCAGGCTGGAGTGCAGTGGCGCGATCTTGGTTCACTGCAACCTCTGCCTCCCAGGTGCAAGCGATTCTCCTGCCTCAGGCTCCAGAGTAGGTGGGATTACAGGAGGGCGCCACCCACCTAATTTTTGTATTTTTAGTAGAAACAGGGTTTTGCAATGTTGGCCAGGCTGATCTTGAACTCCTGACCACAGCCTCCCGAAGTGCTGGGATTACAGGCCCGAGTCAGTGCCCCCGGCCTGCATCATATGTTTTTTGTTGGGCCTTAAACCCTCTCCATTTCCGCTTTGCTGCTGTCTTTCTTGGACTGTCTCTGTGCTCCAAAATGCAGTCTGACCCATAGCCTGTAAGTTTTCCATGAAGTTGGATCTCCTCTCCTTTCCCGTCAGGAAACTGAATTTTAAAAGGCCCAAAGGGCCTCAGGCTTAAATTATCGTGGTCTATGCAGGCTGAGAACGGGTTTTAGGGACGCCTCAACCACCACCCTTTATGCTGCAGCAAAACAAATACTGTAGTTCCCAAAAACGTGTCCTTGCAGTTTCATGTTATGTCTTGCAAATTCATTTACTTCTTTCTCCAGTGACCTGCTCCTGGCTCTTGTCCCAGCAAACACTAAGTTAGTCTTCAAGTGTTAACTCAAAAGCTATTTTTTTTGGTGAAACCCGCCTTGGGTAACTACGGGCAAACTTGGGTTCTCCTCCAGTTTTCCATGTTGCTTGTGTATGTTTGTACATTCATGCTGTAGCAGCAATACTGCTTTCCAAGTTTTGGGCCTTCTTTTAATGTTGTGAACTTCGCAAGGGCTAGGATTGTGTCCTCGGTCTTTTCATGAGCCTACCTCAACTAGCACAGTGTTGTATGTGTAATTGATAAGTAATTGATAATTTCTGAAATAGGCAGAATAGCTTTTTTTTTTTTTTTTTTTTAACTGCTCAGAGTTCAGTACTCAGGATTGGTTACAGGCTTGTTGAGCAAAGTCCAGCAAGCTAATAGGAACAGACGTTGCAGCTGTTGAGCTCAGCACAGTTCCTTGGTCTTTATGTTTTTATTACTAGCTCCAGGCCTCAGTTGGTTTTCCTTGATCCAAAGTTGCCACCACTACCTCAAATCTTCAGGACCTTCTTTCCCTACACTGGCTGCCAGGGGCCTTCAGTCTGGTTAATTCCCCTTCCGTACTGCCCCAGAAGAAAAACTAACAAGCCTTCCACCTCACTCTTTGGTGTGGGGAGGGAGAGAAAGGGTGCGAGAGGTGTCATTATCTTTTCTTTTAATCATTTTATTGTAGAAACTTTCAGATACTTTCAAAAGTAGAGAGACTGGTATAAGAAACGTTATGCACTTGTAACTTAGATTCAACAATGATCTGTAACCATAATAGGTCTATTGCCTGAAGCACATGGTGAGTCAAAACACTGATACACCAGATTGCAGCAGAGAGAGGTTTAATTGTAGAGCTGCTGAACGAGGAGATGAGAGAAACCTCAAATCCATCTCCCAGAGGAGTTTGGGACTAGGGTTCTTAAGAGTTTTGGAGTGGGCTAAAGTGTGGAAATCATTGGTTGGATGATTGAAGAGGGCAGAGTGTAAAATCATGGGATAGGGAGCTGAAGAAATCGTATTCTCATGATGATTCTGTTCCCCTGTGGGGGCCTTCAGATTGGTTGGCATCATCTGTTTTACTGGAATTAGGGATCCCAGAAACATCATAAGCAATTCTTAAACAAAAGCCTTCTGATGCTAACGTTAGAAGTCCTATCAATAGGAAGAATGGGGCTACAAACAGTCAGTGTCTACTGACACATGACTTGTGGTTACAAGGAAGTGGGTCAAAGTGCCGCCTGATTACTGCTTACCCATAACTATATTTCTATCCAGAATTCTTGTTAAACCTGTGAAGATTGCTTCAGATCAACTCACGGCTAATTTGATTTCAAGTATATACCTGACCACTTCCTATCTCCTCTGATGGAGTACTTTGAAGGTGTGAAATTAAATAATTCAAACTTAAAGCTGTTGGAACTTGAAAGTATTCTGAGTCTTGAAAGGGATGTGGCTGTGTGACCTGAGTCACGTGGTATGCAGCTGCAACTTCTGTTTTTTTTCCTGTAAATAATTGGAAAGGCCAAGCAGCACCAGAGATAAGACCCCCCACAGATTTTTACCCCTCTTCACACAGTAGTAAATTAATAAATAAATCCTCCTTGAAATGTAGCAATCAAATATTTGTAGTTATCAAATAACTATAACATATGCACTGGTCTGATATGGAAAATATTTAATCCTGCTAAAACTTCTCCGTCTCTACCTACACAAGTAAAACCTTAACTTTTCTACTTTGGAACACTGACCCTGCTTATTTGGACTCTGTGTTTCTCTATGGCCATCTTTAAGCTTTGCACTTGAATTATAGAATTTTTCTATAATTAACTATATGTTCTGAATCTCATGAGTTAAGATTGACAAAGGAAATCCAAGATATTATATCATTTTATTTGTAAACATTTTAATATGTACCTTTAAAGCATAGGGACTCTGTAAAAACATGAAAGCACAATACTATTATCACATTAAAAAATGTGACCACAATTCTTTAATATCATTGAATATTCAGTCAGCACACGAATTTCCCCTGATTGTCTCCTGAATGTTATTTTACATTTTGTTTGGATGAAGATTCACACATTGCATTTGGTTGAAATGTCTCTCAAGTTTCCTTTATTTATAGGTTTTTTTTCTTTTCAGTTTTTAAAGGAAGAAACTGGATGATTTGTCCTGTATAATTTCCCACATTCTGTATTTGGCTCATCACATCCTCCTGCTGAACACAGTATTACCTATGAGTATGAACGAGGGTTTCCTTCATAATACGCAAAAACAGCCTCCAATAAAGAAGCGCTTTAGAGGGCGAGGCTGATATAGAATGGCATGTGTCATTCACAACTTGCAATTGAAGAATTTTGTATTCATCAAAATGGTTTGTTGTCTTATTTACTGACCTCATAATACGCGTAGTGGGTAAGATTCTCAGTCTACAATCTCAGGTGTACGAAAATTCTCCAGTTCCTTATTCTTTTGGGTGGTGGTATATTTTGTCGTTGTTTCCACTGTGTTGCCCAGGCTGGACTGCAGTGGCTGTTCACAGGTGCAATCATAGTGCACTATAGCCTCAAATTCCTAGGCTCAAGCAATCCTCCTGTCACAGCCTCCCAACAAGCTGGGACCATAAGCCATCATACCCACCTTGTTTTTAATAGAAATAAATTGATCTGTGAGATCCATCCTACGAGGGGTGTCTCAGTCAGTATAGGGGTCCCTCAAAAGGTGATAGGCCCCAATGGGGTCCAGAGGCCAGGGCTGGGGGTTTCGGCAGGGGCTTCTGGTTGGCAGCCTCAGTGAACACGTTGCCGCTCCCACTGTCTCTGCACTGCTTCCCAGCCTGCTGTGAGTGGCATGCGGCAGGAAAAGGCTTTGCTGGGCTGGGATCCTGACTGCCACCTCATCTGAAATTGTAACACCCCCTCAGGTGCAACCCTGGAGTCTCACGTGTCCAGAGGCTTACTCCCTCTCTTCTTTCTTCCCCCCAAAAGTGAACACACTCCACCACCTCTGAAATTCTTCCTGTAACCTGATGGTTTTCACACTTTAATGTGCATACTCATGGTCTGAAGAACTTGTTAAAAAAAGTTCCTCAACCTTACCCCCAGAGATTCTGATTCCAGAGGTCCGGCGGGCCCGTTTGTTCCCACTGCTGATGAGCTCACAGGCCCCTTAGAGGAGTCTCCTTTCTGTAATACTGCCTGTGTCCTCTTCAGAGGGTGGAAGAGCCTTAGAACCGCTTTTGCTGTCCACTCTGCACACCTTCCTGGGTCAGAGGAACATCCAACTTGGCACCTGCTCCAACTGGCTGTGGGATGATATGGGTATAGAGGGGAGAACAAACAAATTAGTATTTCAAAATAAATATCACTAATTGGAAAT